GATGATTTTTGTGGGTGGGGTACTCCTAGCTTGAGAGGTTCAGGAAAGGCTTCATGTAGAAGGTACAGCCTGAGTTCAGTCTATGAGGAAACCAGGGGTCCCAAAAGGAATAAGTGAGGGGGTAGCGCATTCAAGGCATAGATTTTTGTGCCTTTGTAATATCCCCTTCCCTACTCTCTCCACACACACACAGAGCCTAAAAAGAAGTTTACCTTCCCTAGATGCAAAGGCATAGAGTGAGGAAATGGAAAGCCACATGTGAAAAAAAAAAGTATGGATAGGATGACTAAATCATAAAGTTTTGTGAGAGTAACATGTAATTCGGACCAAAAGGTAGGCCAAGGCTAGGTTGTGAAGGGTTTTCAATGACAGGAGTTTTTATTTTATTCTAGATAATCGGGTATTCTGAATACCCTAGAGAATAAAAAATGGAGTTTATTGAGTAAAGCTGTGACATAGTTAGACTTGGACTTTGGAAAAAATCACTTTGGAAGCTTTGGAGGATAGAATTTAGTGAAGAAAGACTTCAGGTAGGGAGACTAATTAGGAGGCTATTGCAACAGTTCAGAAAAGGGCCTAAAACTAGGATGGTGACTATTTGGAGAGAGGTGTTGGATGCAAGAGATGGATGCAGGGGTAGAAATGATAAGATCTGGTAACTGATGGGGGATAGTGTTGCCCTGGACAGTAATACAAAAGTTCAGAAGAGAATAGATTTAAAAGAAAAGATAGAGTTATTCTGGATATGTTGCATGTGAGACTCATGCTTACAGGACATTTAGCTCAAAATGTCCAAAGTTGATGATACAAACTGGAGCTCAGGAAGGAGACAAGGTCAAGATACAGAATAAAATAAAAACTCTTCCATTTGGTACTTCAAGCCCTTCAAGCCCTTCAAGCCCTTGGTTTGGCTCCAACCTATCTTTCCAGTGTTACACATTCATTCTCTTCAGGTACTCTTCTTGAGTACAGCTAAACTAGCCTCATCATTGCTTTTCACACACAGCACTCAATTGCCCTTCCCTGTGCCTTGACACAAGCTTGAAATGCACCCCCTTCCTTTTATCTGCCTCACAGAAGACCTGGTTAACTTTAGAGTTAGGCTCAAATGCCACCTCCTATATGAGGCCTTTCTAGATCCTCCAGGTAGTGCCTGTCCCACAAAATGACTTGGTATTTATTTTGGACATACTTGTATGTATACATGCTGTCCCCCTCTCCAAAACATGAGCTTTGAGGAGCAAGGATAATGCCATTTTTGTCTTTGTCTCCCCACCAACTAGCATTATGTCTGGCATTTAATAAGTGCTTATTCTTTCGGTTAATTAATTGGAAAGTGAGATGGGAGGTGGAAGGGATGTTTTGATGAAAAGTCAATGGCAGCAGTAGTTACCCTTGTGCTTACCAATCAACCCTTCAATGTCTATTTGGAGGTGTCGGCACTTGAAGTCGGGATCAGCACCATTCTTGTGCAGCACTATCTGTGATATACACTCATCTATCAGCTTATAGTACTGAGGTCTGCAAAAAAGAAAAAGAGAGTGAGGAATAACCAAAATACCCTTAGGCTCCAAAGAAGCTCCGGACCCTAGAAGTCACATGGCTGCAATAAACAGTTTCTCTCTCCTCTATTGGTTATTTCAAATTTATCCTGACTATAGCTTGTTTGTACAGAGTTGTTTGCAATCTTGTCTCTGTCCCTCCTTAGACTGTGAGTTCTTAGAGACAAAGGACTTTCTTTTATCTTTTTTCGTGTCCCCATCACTTAGCACATATCTGGCACAAAGAAGCTTAATAAATGTTGCTTGTTGACTGACTCAATCACTAACTCAGTATGGAGTCCAAGGGAAAAATCTTGAGATAAAGTCCTTTTTAGAAATCTGAAATAAGGTTGTTATAGCCATGCCATGAACTACTTTAGCTGCCCTGAGTTTTCTGGATAATCAAGCCCAAATTCCTGCTCTCTGACTCCATTTTTCAGCCCCCTCTCCTCTCCCAAAGAATTCTGTCTTGGTCTTCCTCTGACAGGACAATACTACCATCATCTGCTGACTATTCCTTTTCAATCAAATGGGCAGGTATGGCTCCCTTACTCCAAATGGAAACTACTTTAAAGATAACCTTAAAATGCCTGACCCCAAAAGAGATTGCACCCTTTGTACCTCTCAGCCAATCAGAGGTAGTTTTCTGTCTAATTGAAGAGAAAATTCTCAGACACCTATGGCTGTGAGTGAATGCTAGTCCTTCTTTACTTCCTCTACTTTACCTTGTAATCTAAAAGTTTATTTTTCTTCCTTAATTTAACACCAAAGTTTCTCAGGCACCCTGCCATCCACCCCACCTGGCCTCGTAGTCATTTCGGACTAGCAGCAGGTGCTGTAGGATAGACAAGAAGAGCGGCTCGGCTTTTGAATCTTTAACTGTGTTCAGGAGGATCTGGAAAACTTCACTGAAATCAGTGGAAAAGGGGAAAGGGCTAAGGAAAAGATGATTTTAGAAACTAGGCTAGTCACAGATTCCTGACAGTTGTCACTAATTCTATGAAATGCCCCACCTGTCCTCCCCCCCAAAAAAAATGAAACTCCATCATTAGCACATGGAATCAAGCTCCATCTCCTAAACTCCCCTCAACTCAAGAGACCACTGTGCAAAAGTGTTATGTTGTAAAATTCTTCAGATCTAGAGGATCAATAGTGAAGAGAACCTAAAGTAACTTCAAAAGTAGTTGCACCAGATCTCAACATGTAACCAGATTATTGCCAGTGACTCTCAATCCTCACTTAAGGAATACATACAAAGTAGTCAGGGACACACAAACCTCCTCAAAAGGTCATGTTTTGGCCACATTCCTTGACCTATTTTTTCTTGCAATTAAATTCAAATCTCATAGTATTCCCAAGAAGCAAATACTAATCTTTCTGGCCCCCTCTGTTGTAAAGGACTCTCTGATGTCCTCGTCTAAGGTTTCTCAGACAAAAGAAGCCTGAGAATATCGTAAAGAATGTCCACAAGGTTCTCTTGCTGAGTAAATTATAGGGACATGGACCCTAATTCCTTAGGTAGTGAAATCTTTCTCAGGACACAAGGATTTCACCCAAAATTCAGCTGCTACAACTGAATTTAATACAGGCACCACATCTGGAGCCACTATTTAGCAGAAGGATATTCCATTTCCATTCGTATGTCTTCCAGCCTTCCCTTCAGGTCATAGGAATCCTCCTCCCCTTGTTCATCAAAGACTGCCAGCTGTACCTTCATATCTTCATTCTCCATCAGCCGCAGGTCCTATCAACAGTCAAACACAGGCATCAAAAAACTTATTAGTGTCCATTACGTCCTGGTTGTTCTCTAAAATTGTTTTAAACTGATAACCAAGGCTTTTAAGAGAATGAGAGATATTAGTGCAGAAAAAAAAGGAAAAAAACAAGTCATATTATAATTCTAAGGAACTTGCCCTCACCTTAAGCACTTGCTGCAGACCCGAGCGCATCAGCTCACTTCGGATGTGAACTCTGAAATCAAGTTCTTCTGCAGGTGTGATGAGGGCATTGATCAACTGTAGACATCCCACCTAAGATGGAAAGATAAGATAGCTGGGTTAATGTTAACTTCCTGAGGAAACTAAGGAAGGTTCCTTTTCCATTAAACTTATTTTTAGAGGAAAATACATACCCTCAACATCTAACGTAGATCCTACAAGAGCTATTAAAGTCATGAGGCCCAATCTAATAACTGAGTGGATTAGATCAGAGTTCTTAATATAATTCCTGGGCCTGTGAAACCCTGGACTGGGCAAGTGTCTTCCTTGTTTTAAAATTCAGTTTTGCCAGCTATAAAATAGTCACAGAAATTCCTAACCAAAACTGAATCAAGGATAGGTCACCAGAGGCTCTTTGGTCCAAGACAGTTTTCCAAACTTTTAATTTTTTTCAGCTTAGATCTATCACTAGTATAGGAAGCTCCTTAGTGAGGAAACTCCCTCTACAATGGCTGATCAGCAATTCGTCTATAGCTCAGTCGAGAGATGCACTGAGGCGACACTGGGAGACTGAATGATTTGCCCAGTTTTATACTGCTAGTTTGTGTCAGAGTTTGAATTTGAACCCTGGTCAGTCTGATTCCAATCCCCGACATCAAACTGTCTCTCAATCCAAAACATACCTAACCCAAATTCCCATCTACAGTATCACTGACAAGTGGTCATCTAGCCTCTATTTGAAGACTAAGTATCTCCTGTGTGCTTCATATATGGCCAACTCTAATTATTAGAGAATGTTTCCTTACAGTCTAAATCTGCTTCTCTGTAACTTCCACCCCATGGCTCCCACTAGGACCGACTTGGCCCTCTAGGACCAAGCAAAGCAAGTCTAATCCTTTTCCCCCATAGTTTTCAAATACTTAAACACTACCATCATGACTCCTCTACGTTTTCTCTTTTCTAGGTTAAATATCCTCAGTTTCTTCAAGCAGTTTTTATAGGGCATGATCTCCAGCCCTGGATGCCAACATGCTCGATATGCTCTAGCTTACCTATGCCCTTCCTAAAATGTGGCACCCAAGAAAGTCTGCTTTCTTGAGAAAGAAGCCCCATACTTACCGTTTAGCATAAAGCACACAAAAAGAAGACACTCCATTTGTTCTAGTGAGAGACTAGAAGACCCAAGAAATAATGGCCCTTGCATCTTCTTCCCAGGGGCTGCTCTCAGATTACACACCTTGAGGGCAATGGAGGTTCCACTCTTTAATCCCTCCAAAAGAGGCTGGAAACGGTCAACTTCCTCCATCTCTGCTCGCTCTGTCATTGCCTCCAGAACTCGTTCGTTCCTGCATTGGAGAAAGTGGTTAAAAGGTGGGAAGAAAAGGATGGGGAAAAAGGAAGATAGACTATTCAGGGTCCTACCTCAGAGGTATGGGTAAGAAGAGAAAAGAAAGGGTATAATTATTCTGGCATGACACAAGAAGAAAGATCTTTTTGGAAGTTTAGGAAAATACCCACACCACTGCTTCCACCCCTCAGAGGCTTCAGAAGTGGACAGTGGCCCATAGGATATCCTCTACTAGTCTTCCTAATACAGAGTTTTTTCTAAAGACAGTCACTCACTTAGGTCTCTTGTATTGGGAATGAGAGTCACCAGATTCCATACTGAGTAGAACCACAGTCTATCCAAGCAACTGAGTTCAAGAGGCACATTTCCTCACACTCAAGCAAACCAGTCCTCCAGCACATATACTTGCAGAGATTTAAAAAAACAGGGAAAGAAAATGGGAAATGAAGAAAATTCTAAGTCACATACATATCCTCAGGTTGTGGTAGAATGCAGAGAGCAGACAGAAGCTTGGCTGCATCAATCATCATATTGGGGACAGCAGGGTCCATGGCTCTGACCAGCAGCAGGATTCCTTCTTCTGTTTCCAACATTGTCTTGATCCCAAACTGGCAAAGCAAGAACAGGAAAGAAGAATGTAAAGATTTTAGAGCCATATGAAAGAATACGAAGATACAGTATCCCATGCCTCTTTCTCAGCAGAATCCCATACTACAAGACAAAGCAAAATCTCTTTTCTGCAGAGGTACAAGAACCCAAGTTCTCCAAGGATAGAGATGAACTACTTATTAATGCAAATAACTGTGCAAATGAATAAGGAAAGGGAGAACTAATCTGAAATGAAGTTATCTTTTTTATTATGAGTCAAAGCAGAAAGACTAAGGGGATTCTGAAAACAGGCATATGTGAGAAGTACGAGACTACACTGGGATGAGAGAGGCAGTAGTTAGGTGGCACAGTGGATAGAGCACTGGGGCTTGGGTCAAGAAGACCTAGGTTCAAATCCAGCCTCAGACACTTCCTAGCTGTGTGACCCCTGGCAAGTGACAACCTCTGTTTGCTTCAGTTTCCTCAACTATAAAATGGGGATCATAACAGCAACTATCTCCCAAGGCTTTTGGGAGGATCTAATGAGAAGACATTTGTAGAGCACTTAGCACAGTGCCTGGCATGTAGTAAGCACTACATAAATGCTAGTTATTATTATTAAGTAAGGAGAGAGGTCAGACTTTTGAAAAGAATGTGTGCAGGTTAGGAAACATAAAAGCACAGGACAAAAAAACAAGGGAGGAAAAGAACTAAGCTGGAATGGACTAATAAAGGATATACAGGTGCCACCAAAAAATAGGTATGAACCAGGATAATGGAAAGTTATTTAACCTCGTGCTCTTGGCTGCCTCTTTTGAGTTGCCAAGTGGAGAGGGACTGGGTAGCGGTGTGGGAGAGGCAGGGAGACAGAGGAGGGAAAAGATCTCACCTTGTTATTCATAAAAGCTTTCAAACAGCGAATGATCTCATGCTTATTACGGCTGTCGTAGCTTCTGCACAAAGAAGAAGCAATCAATGAAATGCCTTTAATGCTACATTCCCTCCCAATAGCCAAAGAAAAGGCTCCTAAACTGGGACACAACACTCAACCCTGAAATCCTAAAGACTAAGAAGGGGCAGAGCCATTCACTTCAACAAACATTGAAGCGCTTACTACAGAGGTGATGGTGACTACAAAGACCAAGGTAAGGCAATCCCAATCCTCAAAGAGGATTTACATTTTACCAAAGGAAATGAAACAGAACATGTAAATGAGTAAGGATGAGATCATTTGAGGAGGGAAATAGCACCCACAAGTAAGAGGAATTAGGAAACAATTCCTAGGGTAGGTGGTCCTTTAGCTGAACCTTAAAGGAAGCTAAGGAATTTAAGCTAGAAGTATAGGTGAGGAAGGAATGAATTCTAAAAGCAGGGGGAAAAGGCACGAAGACAGGAGATTGGACACCAAGTTTGAGGAACAGTAAATAGGATGATGTGTCTGGATTCCAGAGAGTATGAAGGAGCTGGAAAGTTATGCTGGAACCAGATTGTGAGAGACTTTATATATTAGGAGAAGAGTTTATATTTTATTCTAGAGGTATTAAAAGCCACTGAAGCCTTGAGCAGGAAGTGACATGGTTAGACAAATGTTTCAGGACAATTATTTTGGCAGTTACTGAAGAGATCCATAAGTCCTGGTCTTAGTTAGTCCTGTGTTTTCTCTTCAGCTTGAATACTAAAAATCTAGTGGGAGTAGGACCACAAACCTTCCCACTAATCCTCCAGGCACCCACAGAATCAATTCTCTTTCATATTCTCCAAAGTCTTATCCCAATACCTCAGTGTGACATGTGCAAGCTCTGGATGGTTCAACAAATCTGGAAAGGCTTTAAATACCAATCCAATGACAAACTGCATGCCCACTGTTTGAAATCCAGCTGAGCTAAGTTTAATATTGTCACCATCACAAGTGTGATGAATTTTTTTGGCCAATTCAACTCAGACTATTTACTAAGTTATAAAAGCGATAGTGGCTACATTAGTGGAAGGAGTAGTCTCACTAATAAAATTCCAGATCCCTGAAGCAACTGTTCAGTGAAGTACTAATTACCATTTAGAAAAATGCCCTATAGATTAATACCTCACTCCATTATACCCTATTAAATTAAAAAAAAACCATTTATTGAGAACCTACTGTATGACAGGCTTTGTAGTAGATATTGGGATATTAAGGCAAAAACCAAACAGTCTTTATCCTCAAGGAGTTTACATTCTACTTAGAAAAAAAAAGGCACACACATAAATATATAATAAAACATATACAAAGAAAGTACAAATGGGGAGGGGAGAACACTAAAAAGTAGGGTGGGGGCTTCCTATAGGAGGTGGCATCTTAACCATGTTTTGAAGGAAGAGGGAGATTCCAAGAGATAGAGGTGAAGAGGGAAACCACTGTAGGCATGGGGAACAGCCTAGGCAAAGGCATGGGAAAGGAGATGGAATGTCCTCTATTGGGATAGCAAGTAGGCCAGTCTGGCTGAACACAGAGTATTTAAAAGGAAGTAAACAATTATTACAATTATTCTTGAAAAAGAGATTAGATTCAGATTGTGAAGGATATTAAATGATATACTGGGGGCTTGTATTTTATCCTAGAAGAGTACTACTGAAGCCTCTTAAGCAAAGGAGTGAGATAGTCACAACGCTGCTTTAGGAATGTCTATCTGGCAGGTATATAAATGGATTAGGCAGGGAAAAGACTTGAAGCAAGGAGAACAATTAGGAAGCTCTTTTAAAAATCAAGGTGATAAAAAAATAAAAATAAAAATCAAGGTGAGAAATGATAAGGGCCTAAATTAGGATGCTGGATATGAGGATGGAGTGAGTGAATAGATAAGAGAAGCTGTGGAGGTAGAAACAATAAAATCTGGCAACTAGATGTTGGGCATGAAGAATTGAGAATCAACTCTGAGGTTGTAAACCTAGGTGCTTGGAAGGGTGGTAGTGGTGGTACATTTGACAGAAATAGAGAATTAAGGAAAGGAGTATATTTTAGGACACAGAGGAGTTCTGTTTTAGACATACTGATTTTGAGATGCCTGTGGGATATTCAAATGGAGATGTCCGGCAGGAAATTGTTGGTACAAAGTTGAAGCTCAGGAAAGAGACAGTGGCTCAATACATAGATTTGAGAGCTATATGAATAGAGATACAATACATAACTCCTTGAGTAATATTAAGGAGGTAAAGAAATCAGGAGAGGGAGTGGGAAAGGGGACAACTACTCTTATTCAGGTCCTTATCACCCCTAGGCTATGGAATTAGCTATCTAATTGGTTTCTCTGCCTCAAGTCTGTCCCCTCTCCAATCATCCTCCACACAGCTACAAAATTATTATTTGAAAAAAGCTTAGGCTTGACTATATCAATTCTCTGCTTAAGAACCTTTGATCAAGGATAAATGCAAATTCCTGTTTGCCATTTAAAGACCTTCACAATCTTATTCTAGCTTTCCTTTCCAGGCTGATTACTCTACTTCACAAACTATGTTACAGTCAGGCTGGCCAACTTCTTGTTTCCATGTGACATTCCTTCTTCTGCCCTGTGCCTTTCCCTGGTTCTCCACCATGTCTGAAATGCTTTCCATCCTCACCCCCAACACTTGGCACCTTCAGCTCCTGTCAAGGCTCAGCTCAAGTGCCACTTTAGGTCTTTCAGGACTTCTCCAGTTGAGGCAGCTAGGCATTACAGTAAATAGAGAACTGGACCTGGAGTCAGGTAAACTTGCTTCAGACATTACTAACTGTGTGACCCTGGACAAGTCAATTACTCTGTTTTCCTCATCTGTAAAATGGGGTTAATACTAGCACCTAACTTCCAGGTTTACTGTGAGGAAAAAATGAGATTATTTATTAAGGGCTTTGTAAACCTTCCAAGCACTATACAAATGCTAGCTATTCATTTTTAAGTGTCCCCAAACAAAATCACTTTGCATTTATTCTGTATATATCCTGTATTTATTTATCTGGAAACATGCTGTACTCCCCAACAGAATGTAAGCTTCTTGAAGGCAGGGGACTGTTTCACTTTTGTATTTGTATCTCTAGTCTCTAGCATATGGCATATGGTTGATGCTTAATAAATGTTTATTGACTGATGAAGAGTGCCCAAGACAGAGTTCCAGGATACATCCATGCAAAGAAGATTGGATATGGTAATGATCCAAATAAAAAAAACAGAAGTAATAGATAGATGGGAGTACCAAAAGATGATAGTAAGCACCTAGGAGGTAGCAAAGGTCAACAGTGTCAAAACCTACAGCAAGAAGGAGTAGGAGGACTGAAAAAAGGTCACTGGGTTTAGCAGTTAGGAAATCACTCATAACTTTTGAGAGAACAGTTTCAGTAGAATGGTGGGGTTCTAAGCCAGATTGCCAAGGGCCTGAGAAGTCAGTAGGAAGTGAGGAAGTGAAAATATTGAGTATAAATAGCTATAAACTCAGACCTGGAGCACAACCTCCAAAAAGTATGTCATATCTAGTAGTTTAGGTCCACTCTGGATCATCCCATTTTTAAAGGAAAACAAAATGGTTGGGGATGTCCACTTGGCTCAAGGTTCAAGATAAGTCTAAATTGATCCTAGGTATTTCCCCTGCTTCCCAACCTTCAAGCTTGCACTAAAATTAACCCATAATCCTAGCCCAGTCCTAGAACTTGATCAGCTACTTGAAAGATATCCAGATCAAGGATAACCCTGGGCAGGACAGACTTTACTAGACAGTTCGGTATTTACCCAGACCTCACTTCTAGTTTGAGTGAGGATAATCTGGCCTCCAGAAGGTTAGGGAGATGTTTGATGTAGATGGAGTACTTATTTAAAGTTTAATTTTTAGCTCTCTTTCCCTGTACCTTGCTTTACCCTTAACCATCCAAGAGAAAAACTCCATCCTTAGCTGAGAATAATCCTCCAATCCATTACATCTCATGTAAAATAGCTGTTTATCACAAAATATATAGCCTTGCCCATTTTGTGCTTCCCTCTTTCCAGAAGATAGAGAGATTCAGGAGCCCTCACCCAGGAGATTCCTCTCTCTCATCGTGGAGTCGTTTAAGTATGTCCAGCAAGGATGCAAGGCCCTCAGCTCCAAATGTCTGTACCCAGCTGTAAGGAATACACAGAATCAATGCAGCATCAAATCAAATTAACAACTTACATCTAGCATAGCGCATCCTCAAGACTTCTACAGTAACTTTCCCCAAATGAAGCCAGCCTCTCACCTGACAGGGTTATTATTAAGTGACACACGAAGGGACTCTAGGCAGCTAAGTAGAGGCATATCCTTTAAGCCTGAACGAAGCTCTTGGATGTACATCATGGCAGACCTGGAACTCTCCTTTTGACTCATACCCTGGAAAAGAAAAAAGGCAGAGATGATAGATCAACATCTGAGAGTCAAAACTAGCTAAACAATATTTCTCAGGACACCAGAGTCCCATCACTCAGACCACTGAGCCATGTGGTCTACAATCAGAGGGACATGAGCAGGGGACTAGACAAATCTACAAAGAATCTTTCCTCCTACACTTCATTAATAAGATTCATTCAGATCAAAGAGAAGGCGCCCAAACAGGAGGGTTGAAGTATTTAGAGCTGTACATTAGGATAAAATAGACTTACTACAAACAGATATAATGTCTTTAAAATAAAGCAATGGCAGAATCTCCCAATGTTGTGTCCATATCTCAATACTGCCTTCCACCCTAGAATATCAGATCTCAAATTATATTACAAAACAGTAATCATCAAAACAATCTGGTACTGGCTAAGAAATAGAGGTGGATTAGTAGAATAGATTAGGTACACAATACATAGTAGTAAATGACTGTAGTAATCTGGTGTTTGATAAAACCAAAGATCCAAGTTTTGAAGCAAGAACTCACTATTTGACAAAAATTGCTGGGGAAACTGGAAAGCACTTTGGCAAAAACTACGTACAGACCAACATCTCACAACATATACCAAGATAAGGACAAAATGTGTACATGATTTAGACATAAAAGGTGGTATCATAAGCAAACTAGGGGAGAATGGAAAATTTTACCTGTCACATCTGTGGTTAAGGGAAGAATTTATGGCCAAACAAGAGATAGAGAGGAATACAGGAAATAAAATGGATAATTTTGATTACATCAAATTTAAAAGGTTTTGCACAAATAAAATCAATGTAGCCAAGATTAGAAGGAAAACAGAAAACCAGGGGGAAAATTTTATAGCAAGTTTCTTTGATATAGGGCTCATTTCTCAAATATATAGGGAACTGAGTCAAATTTACAAAAATAAGAGCCATTCTCCACTTGGTAAATGGTCAAAGTATATGAATAGGCAGTTTTCTGAAGAAGAAATCAAAGCTATCTATAATTATATGAAAAAATGCTCTAAATCACTACTGATTAGAGAAATGCAAATTGAAACAATTCTGAGGTACCACATCACACGTGTCAGATTGGCTAACATGACAGAAAGGGAAAATGACAAATGGAGGGAATGTGGAAAAACTGGGACGCTAATACATTTGTTGGTGGAACTACAAACTAGCCCAACAACTCTAGAGAACAATTTGGAACCATGCCCAAAGTATTCTAAAACTGCGAATACTCTTTGACCCAGCAATACCACTACTAAGTCTGTATCTCAAAAAGAGCAAGAAAAAGAAAAAGGACCTATATGTACAAAAATATTTCTAACAGCCATTTGGTAAAGAACAGGAAATTGAAGGAATGCCCATCAATTGGGGAATGGCCGAACAAGCTGTGGTATGTGACTGTGATGGGATTCTACTGTGCTATAAGATATGATGAGGCAGATGGTTTCAGAAAAACCTGGGACAATTTATATGAATTGATGCAAAGTGAAATGAGCAGACCAGAACACTGTACTCAGTAACAGCAATATTGTAACAATGACCAGCTGTGAAAGACTTAGTTACTTTGATACAATGATCCAAGACAATCCCAAAGGACTCATGATGAAAAATGCAATCTACTTTCAGAGAAAGAACTGATAAATTGCGTGCAGACTAAAGTATAATGTTATCACTTTATTTTTCTTGCCTTTTTTTTTTTTTGCAACGTGGAAATGACTCTACATGACTTCACATGTATAATTGATATCCTATTGCTTGCCTTCTTAAGGGGTAGGGACAGAAAAAAAGAATTTGGAAGTCAAGATTTTAAAAAATGAATGCTAAAAATACATAAATTATATATACACACATACTTTTTTTTTTAAAAAAGAAAACTCACTGCTTTTGAGGTGTGCAAGTACTGGAACACCATCTCCCTCTTGATAATGATGTCTTTCTCTCTCAAAGGTTGTTGTTTCTCATCATTCAGGTTCATATCCAACTGGTAAGGTTAAAAGTAGAAAACAAAATCAGCTCTGATGTTTTACATATTTACAGGGTTCTGTACTTGGTGCTCTTAGTAGAGTGCTATGCACACTAAAAGCTCACTAAATAAATTCATCACTCCTTTCTCTAGAGACTAAACTTTTTCATATGGCATAGTTATCTCACCAGGAAGGTAAACTTTAAATCTGTTTATATTACACTATCCAGGAACTGTCATCCCTCAGGCGTCAGCTAATTTTGAAGTTTTTCCCAGGGTGATCTTATCCCAAATCAAGTTTTCCTCCTTGTAGAGACTAGGGTAAAGGGCACAATGACAATATGAGATACTATTGGCTACTACAAGGGAAAAATGAGTAGCCCATAATAGATGATATCACGTACCTCAGTGTAAGAAGTCTTTAGTGATCATAATTACAATAAAAAGCTTGTGTATATCTTAAGTGCACATTGGTAAAGAAGAAAAGCATAAGTCCAAAGTGTGTCTACTAAAACTGGTACTAGGACAAAAAATGTTAGTAGGAGTCATCTCATCAGGAAGCAAGCTCTATTGTCAATCTGGCTAATCGTAGTTCTACATACCCCCATCCCATACCATGACATTGTCATGAAGTTAAAGGAATTATCTTATTCTACTTTATACCTGAAAAAGCTGAAACTCAGTTTAACAAATATTCAGAAGTATGCATTCCTACCACACTGGAAGCATTCTGACGGTCTCAACCAGTTATTATTTTTCTGTAAAATTTTATAGTCTATGAAAACCAAAAATACCACAGATTTACTGCAGGCACAAGTGAGGACTTATTTAGGAAACCAGGACACAATTAGTTAGTTAGTCTGCAAGGTTTCCATTCTGTTCAGAGCAAACAATTCTCTTTCTGAGAAAGAAGCTGGTTCCCAGAATAGCAAAACATTAACTAAGTTTCTGAGTCCTTTCCAGACATGTTTTGGGTCTGGAAAAAAGCCCAAAGTGCCCAAATAACTACAGTCATGGTCTTCTATCCTGCATTGACACAGCATATACTCAGCCCTGTTATGAACTTTCAAAACCATATCTTTAAAAAATAGCTAATATTTATATAACTCTTTGCAAAGCATGTAAAAATACTATAAAAACATTATCTCATTTGGTCCTCACAAGAATCCTGTGAGGGAAATGCTATTATTCATCCTCATTTTATAGATATTGAAGCTAAGACTGTGCAAAAATTTAAATGACATGCCCACAGTCACACAGCTAGAAAATTTCTGAGACAGGATTTTATCTCAGATCTCCCTGATTTCAAGTCAAACCTATTATGATTTCAAACCTATCTACTACGCCAGCTAGCTGCCTCAGGGAAATCACTTCTGATACAGGTGAATCGCAGAAATAAGTGACTCCTACACAAAACATGGTAAGTGAAATCTGCACAGCTGATCTGCTTCTCTGTGTAGTAACAATTAAAAATCGCCCCAAGTAAGTCAACAGGAAAGGTTTCATATACACGAAAATATTTATATCAGCACTCTTTTGAAGTACCAAATACCTGAAAACAAAGTAGATGTCCACCAACTAGGCAACATTTAAATTAATTGTGGTACATGGATGTAATGATGTATTACTTCACCATAAGAAACAATGAGTATGAAAAATATTGAGTAGCAAAGAAAGATTTTTATGAATTAATGAAAAGTGAAATAAAAGCAAAGCCACGACTTTAACAAACAACTACTGCGGGACACCTAGGTGACGCAGTAGATAGAGCTCCAGTCCTGAAGTCAGGAGGACCTGAGTTCAAATCTGGCCTCAGACCAAACACTTGACACTAGCTGTGTGACCCTAGGCAAGTCACTTAACCCCAATTGCCTAAAAAGAAAAAAAGAAAAAAACAAACAACAACTACAACAGTATAAAGAAAACCTTCAAAGTACAAGAATTAAAAAGCCAAAACTGAAACTTAGTGAAATTATAATAATCAAGCTTGTTCCAGAAGAGATAAGAAAATTTACTTCTCTCCCTTATTTGCAGAGATGGGGGAATATGAGTTTGAAATATTGCATATACTATCAGATACACCACTGATATATTGACTACCTTTACTGCCCTGTCATCACTGACACTTGTGAGATCTCCTCGTAGAGATCACACTTTCTGTCTCTAGATAGCTGAGCTGTCTCTACGTGGGATCATTGTTAAAGGAAATGTCAGTAACGATAGGAAATGAGAACTCACATCTCCATAGTATTTTAAGGTTTACAAAATACTTTCCTCAGAACTCATAATTACAAAAATATTTACAGCAGCACTTTGTGTTATTGCAAAGACCTGGAAACTAAGGGGAAGGCCATCAGTTGGGGAATGGCTAAGCAAATTCTGACATATAAGTGTGATAAAATATTGCATTTTTTAAAATGGTCAAAGGAAAGGATTAAAAGAAACCAGGGAACATCTATAAGAACTAATGCACAGAAAAGTAAGCAGAATGAAGAATAATTTATATGCTGTAAAGAAAAAAGCTTTGAAAAACTTAAGAACTCTTACTAATGTAACAACCAACCAAAACCCTAAAAGGACATATGATTAAGCATGCTACCCACCTCCTCACAAAGAGGTAATAGACCTGAAGTGAAGAATGAAATATGTATATATTTTCAGTCACAGCCAATGTGTAGACCTGCTTTATTTAACTATGCTCACTTCTCAATAAAGGAGGGTTGTTTTTTTTTTTTAATTGGGAGAGAAAGGTGATAATGACACCAAAAAAAAGAAAAGAGGGCCTTTGAAACTTTGTCTTAAATGCACAGAAGAGAACCAAAGGAAGTTCAAACAGGAAAGCCTTGAAATTAACATGTTGAATTTATTCTATGCTTTTTAAAAAAGCAATCTGTATGTAACAGAGATCTGCAGTTTCATATTTTAAAAGATTAATTTTTTTTAAAAAGTGCTTTCCTCACAATCACCCTATCAGGTAGGTAGAGCAACTATTATTATCCTCATTTTACAGGAGAAAAAAACTGAGGCTGAGAGAGTAAATGATTTATATTCATGATCATACAGCTATCAAGCATCAAGACTAGGATTCAAACCCAAGCCTTGTTCATTGTATCATGATGTTTAAATTAAAATAAAGTATGGACTTTGTGCAGGGTTATACCTATATACTATACAGACATATAAAATATAGTCTTATGCAAGCTTACAAAAGAACTTTCTAACTCTCCAAAAGATGTGATTAGCTTGCCCTCTTTCTGCTTATTTATTTCAAATAACATTTATCCTAAGTCCTAATGTAGGCAGAACACTGCACCAGGCACTGGGACAGATGTAAAGTTTGAATAAGACAGATTCCCTACCAGACCTTACAGCTTAATAAACTGTGTACTAAACAATGCAAAAAAATAAACACTTTTCTAAAAACTTCTAATATATAAAACCTATCAGCTGTTGCTGGTCCCAATCTGCAAAACATGTCTGTAATGATTTTAGTATAAGCTGAAGAGTCACTCTGAGTTCTCTTACCAGATTCACGATTAACTGTGACTTTGGGCAAATTACACTTCCCTGTATCTCACTTGCTTGTTTATGAATGTTTCATCCCCTCTCCCCCAGCAGATGCTTTCAGAGACTAGCTCTGCCCATCAGTAGCATCTGAATATTTTCTCCATACAATATTTTCTGCAGCTGAGCTGAGCATTCAGAAATTGGCCAATAAGGTACAAATCCTAACTCACAGAAGTGAACTAGTCCTTGAACATGCTAGTGTTCTAGTACCAGTTAACCTAAGATTCTTGTGATGGAGCCGGAAAGGCTCACTGAAGAAGTACTGTACAGAAAGGGCCATATTATGCCCAGTAATACATTTTCAGAGATAAGCAATTTGTCTCAGAGTTATGAACTTACCAGCATCTGTTCAAAGAGGGCTAACACTTGCTCATCTGAGACCTCCTGAAGCGATTGTGCAGAAGGATCTTCACCATAGGATGCAGATGAATTCCTATGAGCAGAATTGGGCTTTTCTTTTTCTTTCTTTATCCTCATGCTGGTAAATCTCTCCAGCTAAAAAAGAGAAACAAAATTGGCACTGATCCAGCTTTACCTCTGCACTAAAAACCACATCACGAAGGAAATCATCTAAGGCCTTATGCACCCATGGCTCCAAGAAGTCAGTGACAGAAGACCCCAACTCAGTTCCAGGATTTTTCTAGTATGAAATGGTTCTAACCACTATCAAAGGACTACATGGCAAGCTAACCCCAACACTGTACATTTTCTACAAAGCTGAGGGCACTATTGAGCATTAAGGACTCTTTAAAGTAAAAACACTTTCTTTACCTTCCACTAAGTTCTTTCGTTTCAAAAGAGCTAAGACCTAATATTCTAACCTATCTGCACTATTATTATACGTTTCCCTCAAGCACCAGCAAGAGCAGAAACCAGGCCCTTGCACAGTTTTTCCACCAAATCCAAAGCTATACAGGACCACAGCCTTTAACTAAAAGGACCAGGAGCATCAACTGACACAAAAATTTGGTTGGTCCTTTAAAGTATTCTTAAATTCCAGTCCTTCTAGTATAAAACATTTGAGCAAATTCCAAGGAGAAAGGCACTTGTGTCATTTACTTAATTCTGTTTAGCCGATAGCACCTAGCAGATAGTGTTATATAAGCAACAGGAACTCAACAGATAGTTTTCAAATGAATATCAACCTTCTCTGCTGGTTGGATGTCCTGCAAATAATAGCATGAACTTCAGCCTGAACTCCTTTTCTTGGATGAACATGCACTATCTTCATTTATATTCCAGAATTAGCTGGAATCTTACCTTCAAGTATTCATGGACCACCCCTGGCAGAGGAAAATTATAATATATTCACTAGCAAGCCCCAAGCACAATTGCCAAAAGAACCACCAATAACCGGCAGCAGTTCCTCTTCATGCAACTGTTAATTATAAATATTTGCAACTACAGTTAGGGTTTTACAACTGGTTAATGCCCATCTTAAACAAGCAGAGAGTTCAGAATTTAAGGATACCATTTTAATCTTGGAAGGTGATGAACTTTCTATGGGCACCATATATTTCAGAGAAAGAGCACATGCAGTTAAGGTCAAACACAGCAGAAGATAGGGAAAAGCACATGGATAAGCTCGAGAAAAGACAACATCAGTTAACACAGTACTGGGAAGCATGTATACATGGAAACACAATCTAACAACTGGTAATCATCATAGAATAGGAAATGAACTATGAAAACTACATGCAGAATAAAATCACCTTACCTCATCTGCCATGAGCCGCTTCAAAGTCTATGAAACAGAAGAAAGGAGGAAAAACAGGGAGACAGTTTAGTGAAATGTGAGAAAACCCTCTAAGTACAAGATGGATTAGGAAAAGAGAAGAGAAAACAATGGGAAAGGATCTAACATATCCCCACATCCCCAACTGATTACAAAGAAGAAACTGCCAAACTATCCCCCTAGGTGGGGTAAGAGTTAGAGTGGGAATGGGAGAAAGAAAGTTTTAAGGAGAGCTGCATATGCCTTTTTCAATAAAGAAGCTAAAATTGAGACTAGTTGATCTACTTCTACAGTTCCCCTTTGTTTCATCTAAAACTAAACCCAAATCCTCTTCTTATTAGTAATAGAGCAGATGCCCCTCAAATTGCCACTCTTACAGATACCCTTCTCCCCCAAAAGCACTACCCCTCCAAGGGAGAGGAAAGCCAGCCTCCTTGCAGGTGAGGTATAACAAAGGGAAGCAGTAACAAACCTGTGCTTGCCATGACTGCCATACCCTCTCTGAATCTTGTCATCCTATCCCAGAGATCTGATCCACAGGAGGGTTTTGAAACCTCACTAACAAGCATTGCTATGTGATGTCTTTATGTCTGACCTCATTTTCCTGAATCAGTAAGAGATGAGCTTACATTTTGCTCTGCAAGGAAAACCTAGGCTCTCAAGCAAAGTGTCTAGATTCTTTTAGTTTGAAGTTACTTACTGCACACTAGGGTAGAAAGATGAACTCTGGAGTCAGAGGACCTGCCTCGAAACCTGCCTCGGAGGCTTCCTACCTCTGTGACTTTGGGCAAGTCACAACTTTCCTGGACTTCAGTTTCCTCATCTATAAAATGGGAGGATTAGATTAGATGATCTCTGAGGTTCCTTCCAGCTCCAGTTCTAGGATCCCAATTCAGAGAACCTTGTTTAATGCCCCTGGAGTCTGTGTCTGATTGCTCACCCGGGAAACATCATCTAAGAAGCCGTCTAACAATTCCCTACCAGCAACCACAAAGTCAGGTGGGATAAATACAGCCATTAGTACTTGCAGTGGGAAGGGTATGGATAGCTCCGGCAGTCAATGCAAAGCTACTTTTGATCCTAAAAGAGCAGTGTTCAATGCTCTTCCCTAGAACTCAAAGTCCACTGCCAGAGCAGATAATACTTAAAATGGATGTAGCGTATACTCTAGGTCAGGCAGCTAGCTGGCATGGCAGATAAAGTGCTACAATGTAACAGGAAGACAGCTTTATGAGTTCAAATCCAGCCTCAGACACTTACTAGCTATGACTCTGGGCAAGTCATTTAACCCTGTTTCTCTCAGTTTCTCATCTATAAAATGAGCTGGAGAAGGAAATGGCAAACCACTCCAGTGTCTTTGCCAGGTAAACCCTAAACGGGGTCACAAAGAGTCAGATATAACTGAAAAAAAGACTGAACAACAACAAAAATACCAAAGGTTGTCCTGATTCAGAGGATCTCTTGCACAGGTGAACTATTCATTGCCATAACTTAAGTAAAAGGAAAGGAACATAGGACCCCTGAAAGAAAAAGTGAACCATTTATTTTCCATGTGCACTTTGGAATATCTATCATCTTCCATATGTAATCTGTCACTAAATTCTGTCATTTCTTTCTCTAAAATGACTTTCGGGTTCACCCTTTCTTTTCCATTCCCACTGCTACTACCCTTATCCTGTATGAATCAATGAAAACAGCTGACCTTTCTGCTCTTCACACTACTTGGGAGTAGAATACTCCTGAAAGACTACTTTCATTGTGTCAGTCATGCTCTTACTCAAGTAGCTTGGCTTCCTTCTATTTACTTTAGCATATCAAATCTAAAATCTGGTCTTTCCTCTAGAATCTGTCTTTATTCAACAATTTTTTCCACTATTTCTTAATGTACATTTTGTACATTTGAATACATCCTATTTCTCACTGAAGGCCTAATTCAAGTCCCTCCCTTATTTGTTCTGAAACTATTCTAGCCAACACATAGCTGTTTCTTCTCTACTTATTTATATTTGGTAACAAAGTTTAACACTTAATCGTTCTCTGATCATTAAATTTCTGGAGTCTCAGTTTCCCCATCTGTAAAATGAGGCTGGACCAGAGAATCCCTGGAGTCCCCTGCAGCACTAAAGTCAATGATTTTCTATGTTAGTTCTATCTTCTCAGCTAGATTGTAAATGCATTAAGGACAGAAACAATATCTTTTTTTTTTTGGTTAGGCAATTGGGGTTAAGTGACTTGCCCAGGATCACACAGCTAGTAAGTGTCAAGTGTTTGGTCTGAGGCCTGATTTGAACTTAGGTCCTCCTGACGTCAGGGCTGGTGCTCAATCCACTGTGCCACCTAGCTGCCCCTAGAAACAATATCTTAAGCCTTTTCTCTATCTCCCACAGTACCTAAAGGTGCTAGATAGTGAAGGAAGCCTAGAATCAGATATTTTTAAGTTGGAAGAGAACAGCAAAAGCATGTGGTCCAAGTCCTTTGATTTTGTTTTTGTTTGTTTGGTTGGTTTTGTTTTTTCGCTAGGCAATGGGGTTAAGTGACTTGCCCAGAGTCACACAGCTAGTAAGTGTCTGAGGCAGGATTTGAACTCAGGTCCTCCTCACCTGAGTCAGGTGCTCTATCCACTGTACCACCTAGCTGCCCCCAAGCCCTTTGATTTTACATTTAAAATAAGGCATAATGTCAAGGTTTAAAGGATTTGCTCCAAGCCATACTGCTGGTTAGGTGACAGAACTAGGTCTAACATTTAGGTCTCTGTATTCTTAATCTTTACTATCTCCATTACTTAGGTATTCTCATGAATTCTTGCCTCTGAGTTTATAACAAAGTATCTTCTCCAAAACTATGGGTATTCTGTGTTCACTAGTTTTAAACATTTACACTTACACACACACACACACACACACTTCATTAATGAATGAAAGGCTGCTTACATCTGTCATAATCCTGGTACTCCAGCAGAGGGCAGAGACAAACAGCAAACAAAGCAACAGGTAAAATCACATTTTCAAGAACTTGACAGGATACCAACACAATTTGTCAAATTCAAATTAGGTTTGAATGGAACCCAACAGAGTGATGAGGGGGTGTTGTTTACTTGCTATTTGGAAAGTTTAAAAGCTTCCAAGTTAAAAAGCTTTTAAAGCACAGTGTATTTTCAAATACAGATTCGTTAAGGGATTCTTTGTTGTATTAATGTACTTTTTTTGGTAGGTTCCCTAGAATCCTAAAAAAAGAGGTCCTAGAGAACGTAGAACAACAGATTATAGTAGACTAAGAAGCTAAATGCTGCTATATTTTGTACTCTTAACCCTATGTCTATAATGTCCTCCCACCTTCTACCCCAAGCCCCATCTCTATCCCCACCACTATCAACAGAGGAGTTTGCCTCATACTTTACTGAGAAAATTAAGACCATTGGCCTGAGCTTCCTCCACTTCCCTACTGTATATCCAAAAAGTCCTCTGCAACGTCACTCATTCTCTCTTCCCTTATTCTAGCTTCTGATGAATAGATGATCTTTCTTCCCCCTTCATTCCTCTCTCTCTGTATGTGTGTGTGTGCGCGCGCTCGAGAGAGCGCTCTTGATTTCATCCCTTTCATCCAATAGTTTATAGCTCTCTCGATGTCTTTAACCCTGTCTCTCCCTATCTGTTGGTTCCCTTCCTGCTGTCTATAAATATGCCTAGGTTTCCCTCATCCGTCAAAACAAAAGAGAATTTCTTCCTGATCTCCTTCAAAATACTACCCTATAGCTCTCCTCCTTTTCAAAGTCCTAGAAAAATCCATCTAGATGTGCTGCCTCTGCCTCTACCTCCTCTCCTCTCACTCATTTCTCAATCCCTTGCAATCTGGAGACGGTTCTTTCCAAAATTATCAATAAATTCCTAACTGCTCACTGTGACAGCCAGTCTTTTCTCATTTCTCATCCACGAGATTATGAACTCCTCCAAGAGACTGTGAGTACCTTGAGGACAGGAACTGTTTTTTGGCTCTTTTTGTATCCTCAGGAATTAATCATGTCTTGAACATGGTAGGTGCTTAAGAAATGTTTATTAACTATTTACTGACTCATCCTCCTTGATCTTTCTGCAGCATTTGACACTACTGACTACTTCTTGTCTTGCATACTTCTTTTCTTGGGTTTTCATGACACTATTTCTTGGTCTTTCTCCCACCTATCTGGCTCCTCCTTCTCAGTCTCCTTTAGTGGATCATCATCCATGTCCTTTAACTTCGATATTCCCCACAGCTCAGTCCTGGATCTTCTTCTTTCCCTCTATACCGTGTTTTAGTGATCTCATCAGCTTCCACGGGTTTAATTATTATCTCTAGGCAGAAGATTCCCAGGTCTATAGATTTTGCCTTAATCTCTTTCCTAACTTTCATTTCCACATCTCCAATTGCTTATTGGACATTTCCAACTGTACATCAAAATAGGCACTTCAAATTCAACGTATTCAAAACAGAATTTCTTATCTTATCTCTCTCCCCACACCAACTCTTCCTAACTTTCTTATTTCTGCTGAGGACACTACCATTCTTCCAGTCGTTCAGGTTCACAGACTGCGTCATTCTTAACTCTTCATTTTCCTTCCTCCCTCATATCAAAATGTCTTGTCCCTTCTACTTCGACAACATGTCTGACAAACCTTTCTTTCTGCTTGCCTCTACTTTAATTCAGGCCCTGATCACTTCTGCTTGGATTGCTTCTAGAGTCTTTTAACTATTCTCTCTTTCTTATGTCTCTCTCCTCCCAAAATTCAACTTCCATGCAACTGTTAGATCTGACTGTATCATTCCCCCACTCCTGAAGCTTCAGTAGCTCCCTACTGCCTCTGAGATAAATTATAAGTTCCCCTGTTTGGCATCTAATGTCCTTTACAATCTGACACTAGTCTACTTTTTCAAGCTTACTATACATTTCTCCCTTCATGCACTCTTGGTGAGAGCCAGAACAGTCTACTCGCTGTTCCCCTTCCACAGCTGGCCCCAGGGTATTGTTCAGGTTA